TGCATGGGGGTGGGAGGGCTGCTGGAAGCCAGGACTCCGCCTCTGGAGGCCATGGGAGGACTTAGATCCAGGAGGCCTGGGCCCTTAAGGCACCCAGGCGATGCCCAACCTCCCTACTGTCATCTGGAAACAGGCACACAAGGGATGGGGCTGGACTGGGCACCTGACACTTTGCACAACGTGGCCCCGGGGGGCAGTGTTCCAAGGGGGTGGGCATGGAGGGCACAAGAACTATCAGCTTGTCCCAGAACCTATCTTGAGGGACATGGATGAAACAGGCCATCCCATGCCAGAGGGGTGACTGGAGCAGAGAGAGGCAGGGATCAGCCTCAGGGGACAGGCTGTGGTCTGCTGGCCTCAGAAGGGCCTGGATGTTTGTGAAACAGGCAGATTTCTGAGCCCACCCCAGGCCATCTGGATGGAGTCTGGCGTGCCCCTGGTTGGGGTATTGAGCCCATTCTACCAGTTTCTCTTCTCCCTGCATCCGTGTTCCCTGCAGCCTCCCAGTGCTGGCCAGGACCCCCTCCTCCAGCCAAAGGACCCAGCCCTCCGGATGGCAGGCGTCTCCCAGATGCCCCTCCACTGGCCCCAGCCGCACCGTCTCCCCTGAGGCTCCCGGCTCAGAACTTGGGCTCTGGGCCTCCTGCCAGGCAGGAAGTGCCAAGCAGTGTCGGCTGCAGCCCCAGCCTGGGACCTGTGCGTGAGGGCGGCAGGGAGTGGGTAGGGCAGGGCCTGGGCATGCCGGGGCCTGGGGTGCCTCCGCCCACTGGGAGCCAGGAATGCACTGCCTGGGGGGTGCTGGGAAGGGCGGGGACGGCTGCCTGCACCTCACATCTGCAGCACAGACCTGCCCCTGGGGAAGTGTTCCTGTGAGCGGGGTCAGGCTCCCCAAGCAGGAGGGCTGGCGGGAGGCCAGAGGGGCAGCCAGGCCCAGTTAGTCACCTTCTGTCGGGGTTGGGGAGGGTGCCTCGGTGAGTCCACTGCCTGACCACCCATGGACATCCGCTCCCCGGCGTGCCTGACAGATGAGAGAAGGAAGCCGTGCCCGTGAGAAGGGAACGTCCCTGCCTGGGAGTCGAAGGTTCTGCTTCTAGAGCCTGTTCTGCCTCAAGGGGAAATTTCCTTTCTCTCACTGAGCCTCAACGGCCTGATCTGTAAAATGGGGACAGCAGCAGTCCTGCTGACTCTGGGGCCGCTGGAGGAACAGAGGGGTTCATTCTGCAAACTGGGCTTCCTGCCGTAGCCAGTGTGAGCCCTAATGCTCTGCTTTCTGTGGCACCAGGACTGGCCTAGCATGACCCCAGGCCTCTCTCCTGGGACCCAGGATCTCTGCCCTGCCAGGTTCAGGTTCGCCTGGAGCAGAGGACAAAGAACAGACTTCGGTTGCAGGACTTCAAGGGCCTAAGGGTGCCAGGCAGTGGCTGAGGTGGAGGCTGGGGGCTGGCTAGGATGACCTTGATGGAATGCAGGCCTCAGTGGGTGGGGTGCCCAGGGGAAGCCAGGGTGCGGTCCTGCCATGCAGTGTAATGGAAGTGTGGCCCTGCTGCTGCGGCCGCCGCTGCCCTGCTCAGGTTGTCGGGCAGGTGGACGAGGACCAGGATCTCCGTGCCCTCTCAGCTCCCTTGTCCCAGGGGGAGGAGGCTGAGGGACCCCTCTCCTGAGCCCCCTGAGCAGGCAGAGCTGGGCAAGATGGCAACTGGATCGAAATAAATCCCCTCGGTCCCTACACCCTCCTGCTTCCGCCCTCCAGTCCCAGCCAGCTCTGTGCCTGCTGCTGGGAGGATGGAACGGGGCCAGTGCCCTAATCCCAGCCCCATATCCCATGCCCCACCCTCCCCAGAGATTCCACAGGGAGCCCCCCACCCCCCTTGGAGTATTTTTAGCTCCTGCTTGGCCCGCTCAAAGGCCCCTTAAGGCCCTTTGGCTCCCAGCCCGGGATCCAATGGGTCTACAGCCAGAGGCCTGTGCGTGCACGAGGGAAGGCGGCGTGCAGAGGTCCAGCTTCCTCCAGCCACAGCCAGGTGAGTGCAGGCAGGGCTGCAGAATCCAGAGGCTAGAAGGGTCCTTACTGACATGAAAATGAAAATATAACTTCTAGCAGCCGGTGTCGTGGGGCAGCAGGTTAAGCCGCAGCCTGTGACACCGGCATCCCATAAGGATGCCTGTTTGAGTCCCAGTTGCTCCACTTCCCATCCAGCTCCCTGCTAATGCACCTCGGAAAGTAGCAGAAGATGGTGCAGTGGCCGGCGCTGTGGTGTAGCGGTAAAGCCGCCACCTGCAGTGCTGGCATCCCATATGGGCTCCGGCTCAAGTCCCAGCTGCTTCTCTTCTAATCCAGCTCTCTGCTATGGCCTGGGAAAGCAGTAGAAGAGGGCCCAAGTGCTTGGGCCCCTGTACTCACATGGGAGACCTGGAGGAAGCTACTGGCTCCTGGTTTCTGATCAGCTCAGCTCCAGCCATTGTGGCCATCTGGGGAGTGAACCAGCAGCCAGAAGATATCTGTGTGTGTGTATGTGCGTGTGTAAAACTCTGCTTTCCAAATAAATCTTAAGAAAAAAGAAAATAGAACATCTAGGCAAATAAGCACCTCTGTGATCCACCTGCTGCTGGGTCTTGTCCAGAGCACAGGGTCTAAAAGCCAACCCCTCCCAGGCCACCAATGCACCTGTCCACCCAGCCCAGGGAGAAGGTGGGAGGTTGGATGGAGAGATGGAGCTCATGGAGCAAGGAAGACCAGAGATGCAACCAGGTTGGGGTCAGGGAGCAGGGAGCCCCTGGGAGGAGGAGGGTGGGGGAGATGACCTCTCGGGGGCTTTCCAACAGCTGTCTTCTCACACCCTCTCATCTGGCTCCAGGCAGACAGCCCCTGCTGGCCCCTGGGGAGGCTCCTGAGCTCTAAGCTCCAGAAAAGCTATTGCTCACCCCTGCCCGGTCACTCCTCCAGGGCAGTTCAAAGCTAATGGAAGAGTCAAGCAGCGAGCAATGGAATCAAAGAAGCTGAGGAATGGGACCCAGGAGAGATCAGGCACCAGGTTGGCTCATTCCAAAGAGAAGGAGGTCCCTGGGGGAACATAGGGTGGGGTGAGGCGCAAAGAAAAAAATCCATAACATCCAAAAAAAACTTCCCGGGAAGGTTTCAGAGGGGGCCAGAGGGACCCAGCACTCAGGCCAGCTCTTGGCACGTGCTCCCCTCCTAGGCCAGGAAGCAGGAGGGGAGGGGGGCCTGCTCTAGCCCTGATCCCCAGAGGGTAGGGGGATGGGCAGTTCTCAAGATCCTGGATCCCAGCTCAGTGCCAGCGCTGTTGCCCAAATTAATCATCTCCCCAGAGGCAGTTCCTGCGGTAGCTGAAGCTGCAGCCCTCTCCATCCTCCCGCTGCTCCTCCTCCACTGCCCACCCAGCCCCCTCTCCCCACTGGTGACTCAGCCCAAGAGCCAGAGCGACCAGCTGGAGGCAGTGAGAGAATGAGAAGGCATGAGAGAAGAGGCCGTGGGCAAGGCTCAGGTTAAGAAAAAAAACTAATTTTTTCATTTCTTCTTCTTTCTCTCTCTCTTTAGTATCCCTGTCCACCACAGGGCACTCTTGGTGTCATCTAACCTCAGGTAAGAGGTTACCGCAAGGACATCCTCTTCCCCCCTGGCTTAGCCCTGTGCGACCAAACAAGCCCCTTTTGCTGCTGCTGCTTTTGCGGCTGGCCTTCCTCGGTGCCCGCCCACTTCAAAGACCCTGGGGCAGTCACTGGTCGCTGGGGAGAACCGGAGGGAAGGGAGCTGCCACGTGCAGCCACAGCTGCTGTGCCCATTTCTGCTGGCACGAGCCTCGGAGGCTGCCAGGCACCCGCCCCACCCAGGGGAACCTGTTTCGGGAGAGCACAGCAGGTAAGCTGGGCTCCTGCCTACCTTGTGCCTGACATCATTTCCACGAGCGCCAGGCCTCCAGATGCCCTCATTTCCAGCAAAGGATAAAGGGAGAGAGGCTCAGAGCCTGCCCTCATGGCTCACAAGGACTTCCAGGAGGGAGCAACAGAGCGGGTGCCACCTCCCTCCAGGGGGACCGCACGCATCTCACCATTAGAAGCCAAAGTACCCTGGTCTCCCCCATGCTCCTCATTTCCAGGGATGGGGGACTGGGTCGTGCATTGGCGGGAACCCCCGATGATGTGGGTGGGGGAGGAAGGCGATGGGGCAGCAGAGAGGGTCCCCCTACCCCGGGGTGGGGATTTGAGAACAGGAAAGCTGTGCTCTCCCCTCCTCCTGCTCCAGGACAAGGAACAAAGCACACCGGATTCTGCCTCTACTCTCAAAGACCCCTCATTTCCTAAAAACCTTCTATGAACCCCAGACTCACAAGCCTGTTCTCCTTCTTCCAAAGGGACTTTGAGAGCAACAGAACGTGAGGCCACAGCTTGGCTCGCTAGTTCCCGGGCGCGGTGTACCCAGGCAGCTGCTCACATCTGGCTACACAGCTGGCTGCTGCCAAGCCCAGCTGGCCCCCTTGGCTCTCCCACAGGGCCAGCATGCAGAATTCAGTGAGCCAAGGAGGTGAGCCTAGAGGTAGACCCACTTCTGGAAGAAGACTGAGGATACCCATGCAGGGAGGCCCCAAACTCTCTCTAGAACCACCTGCCTCTTGGAGGTCCATGAGCTCTAACCTTCTTGCAATTGGAAGGCCTAAATGCCATCTCAAGCTGCCCAGGCAGAAAAGCAGAAGCCCTTAGCTCAGCCATCTCGGGTGGAGCTCGTGGGTTCTGGGGGTGCATCCAGGTCCTGGTTGCAGCACCAGAGCCTGCAGCTGCACCTGGGGGAAGTGGGCATATGTAAGGTACTTTATAAAAAAAATCATTTAAATTAATTAATTTATTTATTTGAGAGAGAGCTTCCATCCACTATTTCACTCCCCCAAATGCCCTTAATGGCTTGAGGGCTGAAGCTGGGAACCAGGAACTCAATCCAAGTCTCCCATGTGGATGGCAGGAACCCAACTACTTGAGCCACCAGTGCTGTCCCGCGGGGTCTGCGTTAACAGAAAGTTGGAATCGGCCTCTGGTGCCGGGAATGGAATGGAGGCAATCTGATGAGGGGCGCAGGTATTTAACTAGCGCTTTATGGCGAGCCCAGACGGCCACCTGGGCAGTGCATTTCAAACACATGGTCCCATTAAAGCCCCACTGGTGCCCCTAAAGAACGAGCCCCTTTCCCCTTCAGAGGAGAAATAGTCTCAGGGACAGACCCACGACCGGACCCTGGCAGTGGCACTTGGGAGCCTCTTTGCCCTCCACAATGCCAAGTCGCCTCTTGCAGGCCCTCGGAGGTGGGCAGGAGACAGAGATCCAACTCCAAACCCTTTTTGGGAAAAACTGTCCCAGGGAAGGAACGTGTGCTGCTCAAGGTCACATGGTAAAGGGGGGAGGGGCAGCCTCGGAGTCGCTGCGTGTGCTGCCTTCCCAGACCGATCTGCTCATCACCCTGCAAACTCCTATCCAGCAGCCTGAACATCTTTTTCGCGGGCCAGGGCAGGAAGAGCACTGGCACGGAGAATCGCCCCAATGGTCGTTCGGGGTTTGCTGAAGCCAGACAGCAGCAGGAGTCAGGCCAGGAAGGGTGTGGTGGCCCTCACCTCCACAGAAGCCAGATGGAGGTGAGGCTGCACCCGGGCAGGCAGGCTGGGTAGGGGCTGGGCCGACGGGGCAGAGGCCAGGGCTGGGGCAGTTTGGACTTTGACCATCCCAACTTCCTCAAGCTTCTGCAGGCCCCAGCCGGAGCTGGGAGAGGTTTCTTCCAGCTCGGTGGGGTCAGAGGCCATGGGAAGACAGACACCTGTCGGGTCACCTGGCCGGTAGGGGCCAAAGCGGCTTGCAGGACCTGTCCTAACCACTGTCCCAGCCTGGGCAGCCTCATTCCCCCCCTCTCCCGGCCGACCTCAGCACACTCTGAGCCCACAGCAGAGAAAGCCCTGGAGCCTGGACATGCCCCCGGGTGTGGGTCCCTACGGAGGGAGTCGGCAGGGAGGGGCAGGCAGCTGGATGCTCTCTTTCCCTCCTCCCCTGAGCCCTTCCAGCTCCTTCTCCTTTGCAGCTGTCGGGGAAGGAGAACAGAAGAAAAACACCATTTCCCTCTTCAAACCAAAACAAACACACTCAGGGCTGCGATTCAACATGAATCTGTGGAATGCGGGGATGATGTCTGGTGGGAGAGCGCCCCTGCGGCTGGGAGGCGCAGTCCCAATGGGGACAGCTCCTCTCTCTCATCCACGCCCCTGCGCTCACGGGGTCAGAAGGAGCTTCTGGACAGCTCCGCACGGCCGCACGGCCGGACTCAGCCGTCGGCTCCCCGCTCCCCCTGCACCAGCCCGTCGGGCCGTTGAGCAGGCTATCCCGTCTGGCTCTGCAGAGGGCGTGGCCCGCGTGGCCGCAGACTAAGTGCGAGGTGCGGGCTTAAATGCATGTGCTGTGGGTTCTCCCCGGGAGGAGGGGGAGGGGCACTAGGTGTGTTTATCTTGTTTATCCAGCTCCCAGCCCTGGAGAGAAGAGGCCAGCGCTAGGCACTCCGTTCACCCGCTGGCTGGGGGCTCAGGCAACAGGGACCACACTTCGGCTCGCAGAGATCTGAAGGTTGGAGGGGCCGCGTCTAGACAGGTTCTGGCCAGGTCAGCACTTGCCAGTGAGGACTGCCCCCCACACCACGCCCAATCCTCCACTTCCCGCCAAAGCTCGCCAGCCCGGGGGGCTGCTCGGAAATCCGCTCCCCAGAATCCTGGCTCACAAGGGTCGGGGGGTCCAGTGGGCTGCGACTCCGCTCCGGCACCGCACCCCGCCGCGCTCACTCCGTCCCGCCCCACCCCCGCCAGCCCCACTTACAGGTAGCGTTGCTGCCGCTCGGTCTGCCGGTGGAGGGCGACCGAGTAGCCGAAGAGGCTGCTCGGGTTCTTGGCCTCCTTTACCACAAGGAATCGGGTGTCCAGGTTGAAGGCGGAGGCGACGCGGCCGCCGGCCGCCACCATCAAAGCGAGCGCGCAGAGCAGCGGGCCCCGGGGCCCCGGGCCCCGGGGGGCCCCCAGGCCCCATTGGTTTGCAAACCGGAAAAAGCCCCCGGAAAAAAAACCCCCGGGGGGAAAAACTTTTTTCACTTTGTTCCTTGGGTTGGGGGGGGCCACCCGCGCCCGCAGCGCCGCTGCGCCTCCGAGTGCGGATCCGTTCCTCGCCCTCAGCCCCGCTCAGTTTCGCGTCTGCTCCGGCTCTGCGCTCTCCGATCCCCTTCCAGGGTCCGCGGGTCTATTCAATCGCCTCTCCCGCAGTCGGGTCACCGGCCCCCTAGCTTGTCCCGGCCGCGCCCCCTTGGCTGCGCTGTCGCCTTCGATCCCGGCTGGGCGGCGGATCCGGACGGGGAGATCAGTCGACCGCCGGGAGGCCGGGAGGCCGGGAGGGAGGGGTCCCACTGCGCGCGCCCCGCCTTCCCCACGCCCAGCCCCGCACCTCCCCACCTTGCGCGCCCAGCCCGGACTCCGCTTTCCTTCCGGGGAAAGAGAAAAGGTCCCCGCGCGGCCACCGCCTCTTAAAGGGGCAGCACCGCCCCGCCCTCCTCATCCTTCCTTCCTGGCTCCGCCCTCTCCCTCAGACACCTGTCGGGAGCCCCAAAAAGCTTGAGTTTGCCCTCTCCGCCCCTCGAATCTCTCGAGAAGCGTCGCCTCCGGAGGGAGAAGGGTTGGACGGGCGGGGCCGGGGCTGGGATTTGCCCCGCCGCTTTGCTGCGGCTGCTGCCGCCTTAGGAAAGGCCGTTGCAGGCGCAGCCACCTCTGCTGTCCCGGCTGAAGAGGCCGGGCGTTGGCGCATCTGAGAACGGTCTCCCCGCGCGCTGCTGGTTGCAACGCTCGGCTCGCCTCCGCAGCGCTGTGAGTGCCCAGGAGGTGGCTGGCGGTCTCTGGGCGCTCTCCCCGCACCCAGCCCCTCCTCTGTCTCTGTTAAGATTTATTTCTGCGATCCACCCGCCCCCACCTTCCTGATTCGAGCTGGGACTGGCTCCACAGCGAAGCCAGACAGATACTTAGTAGTGGTAATTATCAAACATCGCTAATTGTAATTAGCAAAATGATAACATTTCCCCTTAAGGGTTGCTGCTTCTAGAAGGTGGATGCGACTCTTGAAGACGAGTCCCTCCGTAGCGGGAACTGTGTGGCCAGAGCTGGCCCAGACTGCACCGGTTTCTCCTCCACTACTGCCTTCAGGGACTGGCCGGCAGAATCTCAAAGGTCCACTCCTTCGCTCAGGCTGAGGCTGAGCCAGGGTGGGGTTGCTGGGCAGGAAGACAGCACCCCCAGGTGAGCAGTGGGGGGGGTGCCAGGTGGAGGTGGGTGGGCGGCACCCAAAGATCTCATTATTCCTAGAAGAATCAAACAGAAAAGAGCTGCCAGAGGTCACTGTGTACTTTTGAAGTACAATAGATGTCTCTTACTGCAGCGCAACATTTTCCCTGAGCGTTTTTCTTTTCTCTCTAGCTTCTCACCATCATAGTAAGAGAAATCCTATCGATTAAACACATATGCAGCGTGAACTGAGTGCTTTACAAATATGAATAAATTAAAGGCTCACAGCAATCATGGAGCTGTCCTTTGTGTTTCAAGATGAGAAGGCTCAGGCTAAGGACCCTCAGCTAGGAATCTAACCCCGTGTTTCGGCCCCTGGAACGCTGCTCAGGAGCACGCCTGCTAACTGAGCTCTGACAGACCTGGCCTCTCCTGCAGCCTGAGGCTCCCTGTAAGGAGTAGAATACAGAACTGAGACTGAGGAGATCAGAGTCAGAGCCTGGGACCTGGCCCAGCCTCGCTTTCCAGTTTGTGAATCATTTTTTGGGCAGACCCATTTCATCCGGCCAGCTTCCCAGGGAGGTCAGGATCACCCTCTTCATTTCCTTTCAAAGAATGGAGCCCCAGGACAGTCCAAGGTCACACAGCTTATGGGAGGCAGGGCTGGGATGGAAACCACTGGCCACAGCACTGTCTCTAAGAGACAAACTCTGGGGCCAATGCTGTGGTGTAGTAGGCTAAGCTTTCTACTGTGGCGCCAGCATCCCACGTGGGCACTGGTTCGTGTCCCAGCTGCTCCACTTCCCATCCAGCTCTCTGGTATGGTCTGGGAAAGCAGAGGAAGATGGCCCAAGTCCTTTGATCCCTGCACCCGCGTGGGAGACCTGAAAAAAGCTCTCGGCTCCTGGCTTCTGATCAACCCAGCTCCAGCGGTTGCCGCCAATTGGGGAGTGAACCAGCGGATGATAGACCTTTCTCTCTGTCTGTAACAATACCTCTCAAATAAATAAATAAAATCTTAAAAAGAGAGAGAGAGAGAGACAAACTCCAGGCAGATGTTGATCAACAACCAGACGTGTAAACAAAAGCAGCTGCGATAACAGCTTTTTCTGTGGTGGTTGGGAAGAGGATGCTTGTCCCCGACTGCCCTTAAGACAGTGTTTGTTCCCAAGCTGTGACTTCCAGAGCCACCCAGCCTCCCTCATGGTCTGCCTTGTGGCCCATGACATCAGGGTAAGGAGACATCCAGGCCAAGGCACAGGAAGCAGACCTAGATAGAGGTTGACCAGATGGCTTTCCCATCCCTCCCTCCACCCCTGTTCCTTCTGCTACTTCCTGGACTTCCTAGTTTGTTCCTAAAGAAGGAGACACAGCCAGGATCAGGAGGACAGGGGCCCAGGATGGACACTCAGTGTGGGTATAAGTCCTGCCACTCAGAGTCTTGTGATGACAAATGGGCTCCTTGCCAGGCCTTATCTCTCTGGCCATCCCAAACAGGAATGACCAGCATGTCCGATTCAGGGATGGGGGGGGGCAGGAAAGGGATGAGGGATGGTTTTCCACTCCAGGGGAGTGTCCAGAGGGAATGTGGGGGCAGGAGCAGGGGAGACGGGGAGGAGGGGAGGGCCCGAGCTGAGGAATGTGTAGGAGTGTCAGATCTGGGAGCATGGAATGGGGGTGGGGGAGACACGGAGCCAGGAGGGGTCTGAGCTCGAGAGATGAGGAGGGAACTCCAAGTTCAAACCACAGGTCAGAAATCCTCTGGTTTCAGTGACTGCCACCCACAGCCTTATCTCATCGCTTGGTTGGCCTCATCTGGCAACGCTTCCCCACGGAGCAGGGACCCAGCTAGAAACTCAGACACGAGGGAACAAGAGCGCGTGGGTGAGGAGTCCGCGTCCAGTTTTTGATGTTTGCTGATGGCTTTTACATCTCACTGCCCCCTGGCCCTTGTGCCCCACACATGGACAAGAGAGCTTCCGTGCTCCTCCTTTGGTGTCAGAGAGAGAGAGAGAGAGAGAGAGAGAGAGAGAGACCCACATCCCTTTCTGCGCGCTAACCCCTAACCACAAAACCCCAGGTCTGCCTCTTCTCTGACTCTCCTGGGCCATTGGGACCTGCTTAAGAGGCTTTGCTCTTCCCGGAGACCTCAATTATGTAAATAATAAATCTTTTCTTCCCCTCTGGGGTGCTCATGGCGTCATCAGTCTTGACATCTAAAATAAACCTGGTAGGGGATTTGCCTTTCTCTGCATCATAACAAGCAAACGATGGGCTCTGCAGAGGGCCAGGGAGACTTCCTGGAGGAGGAGAGCTAGACCAGGGGGAGAGAAGAAAAGCAGAAGAGCCGGGGCCTGGTTGGGGTGAGGCTCTCCCAGCAAGGATGGTGACGTAGTGTATAAAGGCAGCTCCCATCTGTATAGCGCTTATGGCGTTCGCCTCAGCCTCCCTCTGTCTGCCCTCCCACGGGGCACACGGCACTGCTGGAGCCATAGCCAGGGAGAGCAGTCATGTGCCACCTTGATTGAATGCAGGCTCTCACCCTGAGCAAGTTACCTTTTTGGTTCTGGCCTCAGTTTCCCCATCTGTGAAATGGAAGGGCTGGAGAAAACTCCCTCTTTAGTCCCCAGTCAGCAGCCAGCGTTGGGTTAAGCAACTCTGGTCCATCTCTCTGACTTGACTTCAAAGTGCAAGTTGCTGGGGCTAGGAGGGGGAGGCGAGGGGTGAGCACCTGCAGAGCTGTCAGATCTCCTCCTGCGACCCTGGTTCAGGCTCAGTGCAGCCCACTTCCCTGGCTCAGATCATTCGGCCTGGAACATTCCCTGACAGGCTACTACATGCCAGCACGGAGCCAGGCCCCCATGGGGCATGCAGGGTGAGTGGGGGTTCCTTCAGGAAGGCCAGGGTTTCATCTTGGCCTCATATTCCAGAGGTCCACAGATTTAGACAGAGGCTACACCCATGTTGCTCTGGGGGGGGGGTGCTTGGGCACAGGGGGACTGTCGGAAAGTGCATTTTGTGCAGCCTCCACTGTGGCTCAGCAGGTTAAGCTTCCTCCTGCAACGCTGACATCCCATATGGACGCTGCTTAGAGTCCTGGCTGCTCCACTTCTGATCCGGCTCCCTGCTAATGTGCTTGGGAAAGCAGCAGAAGATAGCCCAAGTCCTTGAGCCCCTGCATGCATGTAGGAGACCCAGAGGAAGCTCCTGGCTCCTGTCTTCAGCCTTGCCCAGCCCTGGCATTGCAGCCATCCAGAGTGAACCAGAGGATGGAAGATCTCGTTCTCTCTCTTTTCTCTCCTCCTCTCCTCCTCTCTCTGTAACTCTGCCTTTCAAATAAATACAAAATAAATATATTTTTAAAAAATGACATTTTGTTTGCAGCATGAAATTGATGTTGCCAGGAGAGAATGGGGTAGGGGCATGCAGGAGGGAGTTGCTGGGATCATTTGATCACAGAATGAGGTGGGCTGAACAGAGGCAGGGGCAGAGGGATGCAGAGGGAGAGAGCTAGGCCGGGGCTGTGTGAGGTGTGCGTCCACATGTACTTGACTTGAACTTCAGGATAGGGGTGGCCTGGAGTGACATTGAGGGTAGGAAGGGAAAAAGCTGGGTGTTTCTAGGGGTAAATAGACAAGGCTCCTGTCAGGGCACAGGGAACAGGCCCCAAGTATCAGAAACCCCCAGTCCCTGTGGCTCCCGCAGCCCCTGCATGCTCTCCTCTTATTGCCCAAGGCCTCGCCCTGCTGCCCCACCCCCCCCCCCAAGAGGCTGAGACCCTGGTGGGGTCTACACGATGCTGTATGCACTCACGTGTTTGTCTCTGTGGTTGTGTGTCTCTGAATGTTTTAGGCCTGTAGGAATGTGGAAAGGGAGCTAATATTTACGATATTTATGAGCCCCTCCCCCTTAGTGTGAAGAGGAAATCCGGCTGTGACCAAAGACAAGGGAGAGAAAGACCCCCAAGGAGGGCAGACGTCCCATTCTGTTTACTGCGACCCCACAGGTATCAGCATGTCTGGGCGGTCAGCCAAATCCCTGTTCCCCACAGGTGTTGTCATGTCCGGGTAGGTGTCCTTCTCTCGGTTCTCTGCTACGTCTACCCCCGCCCCAATTCCTGTCCTCCATAAGCATGGTCTCAAGTTCCTCATAGGTGGTCCTGAGCCCCGCAGGCTCACCCAAGCCCACCGAGGCTGTAACTGAATGCGTGACGCTGATAAACCTGCAAATGCGGTGAGGAACCTGGATCTGATGCCCAATCGTGGGAGTAATTCCACTGGGCCCTTCAACCTTAATAAACTGCAGCTGCTGCTCCTCCATCCGGCCTCCGGTGCCTGCGTGAACTAAGGGAACTTCTCCAGTGCAGCTCTCTGGAACATTTTTAGTGCGTTGGCCAGGAAACACCCGTTGTGCCCATTATCGAGCGCTGAGAGATTCCGCAGTGTTCAAACAAGGCTGGCCCCTTGAGCCACGGCTGACCTGTGGGCTCCGGGGCCTGTTGACAGCCTGGGAATGACTGGGAGGTGCCTCCCAACTCAATCTCTGGGATCCTGACTCCCCAAGCCGTGCTCCGCTCCCCAGGCTCACTCCCCACGGCCAACCAGACCAAAAAGAGAGGACCGATGCTCCTGGACTTCAGGGCACAGTAAGACGCCCCAGGGAGCCCAGGAGCAGGCCCCCTCCCCTCCTTTGTTCAGAAGCGGAGCCTGATCACCTCCCAGCAATCCTAATGATTGCTTCTGTTGGGTCCTCACAGGAGGTACCTGTCTGGCGTCTGTAATGAAAGAGTGCATGTGTAGTGTGAGTGTGTTCACGGCTCCACGGCCCTGCGGCTCCGGAGTCTGGACCCCCATCTGCGGTTCCGTCTCGTCTGCGAGGAGAGCAGCCAGGCCGGTGAAGCGATCTCTGTCCAGATCAGTGCCTGTTCTGGAGGTCTGTCTCTCGTCTTGTGACACCGGCCAGAGGGTGGCACATTGTCAGAAATTCCCATTCAAAACCCGCCACCTTAGACTGTAGGATCTAAAGCTTTAAGACAGGTTATCTGGAGTCTGTGGTGTCCAAATGTCTCCAAAATGGTTAAAAGCCCTCTGAAGTTAAATGGCCAACTTTCAACGTAGAATGGCCACGAGACGGCACTCACGATCTGGCTGAGATAAAGGCAGTGCGTCTGGTAATACCTGGAGAGCCAGGCCTCCCAGGTCAGTTCCCGTGTGGAGATTCCTGGTTGCAAATTGCATTAATTCAGCGCCCTTGGATACGGTTCCACACTGACAGGCAAGGACAGAGCAAAATCCTTGTGGCCAAAGCTCAGCTTCAGTCAAGAGGGCAAGGGACTCCTGGGGTTTCCGGGACTCCCACAGCCCCTCCACCGATCCTCCAAGGAGAAGCAGCAGCACCCCCATTGCTGCCGTCTCCCTACCCCGCTTCGCCAAGGCCGGGGGCCCTTTACTACCAGAAAGTCCACCACCATCTGTTTCATTCCCACTGCAACCTAAGGAACCTGGGCAGGTAGGGCTGCGTCTCTGTTCAGCCCAGGACCAGTGAACCCAGGAGCCCACCCTCTCTGTCTCAGAGGACAGGGCTGCCAGCGGCGGCAGTCACAGCGGCGGCAATGGTGTTTCCAGAAAACCAGCTCTCCAGGTGCCCCTGCATGAGGTCAGAGGAGTCCCGCAGACTGAGCAAGATGGCGCCACACGATAGGGCTAGCCGACTTTTTATGACCAGCCCTTCTCCACCATGGACTTAGTTGGAAACACCATACTCCCTCTGACTTGGAGAAGCCTCGGGCTCTGATGGACCGACCTGCTAGAATCATCCGTCAGACAGACCCGCCCGCGTGGGGAGACCACCTCCGGCTCCTCCCGACTCTCCTAACACTGACGAGTGACGATGGCGGGCGACCGGAGCTCACCAGCGGCTGGTGGCGCTGGCGGGCCAGCTACAAGCTGCGGCTTGGGTCAGGATCGCCTTTCCTGGGGGTGAGCCCCACTGGGACCCAAACTCAGAGAAAGGAAATCCAGCCTGGGGAGATGCCGGCAGGCTCTCTTCAGAGGACCAAGGGTGGGGCAAAGAAACTACTAAAACAGGTCCAAAACCACTAGGTCTTCCGAAAGCCAGATGGGGGCCATCGTATTTCTTTCTTTCTTTCTTCCTTTTTTTTTTTTTTTTTTTTCCAGATTTTGGTTATTTTATTTGAGAGGCAGAGTTACAGAGAAGCAGAGGCAGAGAGGGAGAGAGAGGTCTTCCACTTGCTGGTTCACTCCCCAGATGGTCCCAGTGGCCGGAGCTGGCCCAATCCAAAGCCAGGAGCCAGGAGCTCTTCCAGGTCTCCCACCCGGGTGTAGGGGTCCAAGGACTTGGGCCATCTTCTACTGCTTTCCCAGGCTATCAGCAGGGAGCTGGATCAGAAGAGGAGCAGCCGGGACTAGAACTGGCACCCATCTGGGTTGTTGGCACCACAGACGGAGGCTTTACCTGCTACACCACAGCGCCAGGCCCCAGCGGTCAGATTTTTTTTTTTTTTTTTTTCTTTTTTTTTTTTTTGACAGGCAGAGTGGACAGTGAGAGAGAGAGACAGAGAGAAAGGTCTTCCTTTGCCATTGGTTCACCCTCCAATGGCTGCTGCGGCCGGCACGCTGGGGCCGGCGCACTGCGCTGATCCGATGGCAGGAGCCAGGAGCCAGGAGCCAGGTGCTTTTCCTGGTCTCCCATGGGGTGCAGGGCCCAAGCACC